GTGATTTTTCATGTCGATTTTGATTAAATGTGTAGTTCTCATTTTACTTGGACGCATGCGTAATGAGGATATCTGTAGATGATTTGATTATCAGTATATATGTCAATGTGAATGTTCACATTTTGTTAATGTGGAATATGTGAAGAATGTGGATGTTCTCATTTAAAATTGATGTTTGCTGAATGAGGCTCTGTGTGTGTCATATAATTCAGAGTGTCTGTGTCAACGTAAACGTTCACATCTTGTTAATATTATGTGAAGATTGTTGATTTTCTCATTTTACTTTGATGTTTGCTTAATGTTGACATGTTGTTAATATCAATGTGAATGTTCACATCTTCGTATTGTGAATTATGGATTTACCACTTGAATTGTACGCGTAGTCATCAATTTTTTGCACAATGTGAATTTTCATATTGATTTTTATTACTGTTTATTGTTGTGTTTTTGTGTTTTTATAGGAGATGGATACCTTTATGCTGTTGGTGTGTACATATGGTTGCAGTACAACTGTAATAAATGTTGCCCGCGCAATGTGTTATTCTCGTTTGGTGGAGTGTTTGTGTGAGAAATGGGATGAGTTGTCTGCTGGTTCTATTTCATTGTTCTGTAAACTACCTGGGATTAGTAAGTGTGATTTGGACAATGAGGAAGAATTTCAGAACATGTTACTGCTTGCTAAATCAATGGGGGTACAACATGTAGAAGTTGTGGTTGAGTTGAAAAGTGGTATTGGTCAGTCAACTAGTTTGGGATTGGTGTGTGTGGGGGTTGAGGAAGAAATTGATGCAATACGGAGATTTTGTCACCATAAGGAGAAGGTATTGTTGTCAGCCCCTTGGGCAAATGGTATTACGCATATGGGACAACGGTTTGTTGGAGGTGCACAAGAATTTCGTGACGTTTTATGTAAGTATGCCATCCAATGTGGGTTTCAGTTTACATACACGAAGAACAAGACAACAAGAGTTACTGCTGTGTGTGCGATGCGGGAGGAGAGGGGCTGCTTGTGGGCTATACATTGTAGAGCACAACGAGCAAATGATTTTTTCTACATCAAGAGTTTTAGTGATGTGCATACTTGTGGTACGGATGTCTGAACATCGAAGAATCCGCGAGTTAGTTCAGATTTGGTGTTGAGTACCATATCTGAAATTATGAGGGACAAGTCGTTGACTCGGCTGTGTGATGTTGTGACTATTTTGAAGAGGGATTATGGGCTAGATGTGAGTTACCATGTCGTATGGTTGGCTATGGAGAAAGCAAAGACTGGTATTCATGGAGATCACTCATTATCGTTTGACCAGCTGCAGTGGTATTCGGATGCTGTGATGTGGTACAATCCGGGGAGTTATGTCAATATTGACTATGATACGAGTAGTCGACAGTTTCGTCATTTCTTTGTGTCATTCGCTGAGTGTATTTCTGGGTTTAATTCTTGTCGGCCTTTATTATTCTTGGATGGAACATTCCTCAAAGGAAAGTACAAAGGTCAGCTACTTGCGGCAACGACGAAAGACGGAAACAATGGTTAGTTCTTTTTTTACCTATATATTCATGTCAATATTCACATTGACATGTATAGTATGGACAAATGAGTGATTGAGAAATTATAAGTAATGTGAACATTGACATTACTATGTGCTGATGTGAATGTTCACATCTATGTCTGCTAATGACAGTAATGTGAACATTCACATTATTATACACTGATCCATTCACATTATTATACATCTGTGCCTGCTAATGACAGTAACGTGAACATTCACATTCACATCAGTGTACACTACTGTCAGTTGATCCATTAATGAACAGTACTAAGAATGTTCACATTATCAATTGCTGAACAATAAAAAATGAATTATTAATGGTCGTTAATGTGAATGTTCACATCATTGTTGTTTATGAACTTGAATCCAGAAATAACAATAGTAATAGGGCAATGTAGATATAAACATTCACATGACCTGTTTCATTTATATTATTTTCTATTCATTTTGGAATATTGTGAACAGTTGCGTATTGGTGTTGTGTTGTAGGTTTGTTTCCTGTTGCATTTGTGATTGTTGATTCGGAGACCACGGCGAATTGGTCGTGGTTCTTGCATGAACTTGGGAAGGTTGTTGATGGTAAGCGCCAGATTACTTTTATTTCGAATCGTAATCTTGGCCGGTTAGAAGCTATGCCGAAGGTGTTCCCATCGGCTCATCACGGCTATTGCTTACAACACTTGAAGAGCAATTTAAGAGATCGGATGAAAGGAATTGATAATGGATTCAGGGATCACCTAGTAAGTAGTTTGGGTGATTGTGCTTATGAGCCAACTGTGGTAAGGTTCCATGAAAAGCTTGCAAAATTAAAAGAGGAGGGTAAACAACAAGCACATGATTTTTTCAAGGACTTGGCACCTGAGCACTGGGCAAATTCATACTTCAGGTAATAATAGTTTTTTAAAGTGTTCCATTTGTCAAGTCAAAATGGTAGTGATGTGAATTATCAGTTAAGAATTGTAAAAATCTTCCAATTGTGTTTCATGTTCAATGTCAATGATGTGAATGTTCACATCTGATAATGATGACTGATTTGAATGATGTGAATGTTCACATCTGTTGTCATATTTTGCTGTTGTTAACATTCACATCATTCTCTCATTTAAGTTGATGTTAGTGTTCACATCTGTGCATTGTGTAAGTTAATGTTAATGTTCACTGCGAATGATGTTAATGTTCACATCAGTCAACGTGAATGTTCAGACCTGTTAACTTTCCTATTGTAAAATGTTTGTGATATTGTGCAGGGGCATGCGTTATGGGGAGATGACTTCCAATGCGGCGGAGTCATTTAATAACTGGATTAAAGAAGCGCGTAATCTTCCTACCACTCAAATGGTGGACACAATTCGTACTCAGTTGATGCGGCAAATGTCTACACGGCGTGACCAAGCAAACAAATGGAATGAGCTTATTTGTCCTACATTCGAAACAAGGCTTATGGATTCGTTCAATGACAGCAGGTCTTGGCAAGTTAGCAAAGCCAATGAGAATGTGTTTGAAGTTCATTCAATACCATCTGTTACTGTTGATGTTGTGAGGCGTACATGTTCGTGCTTCAAATGGAAAATCAATGGATTCCCATGTGACCATGCTGTTATTGCCATTCAGAAGAGCCGCTACAATCTCAATGATTGTGTGGAACATTACTTTCATGTACAGACATATCGTGCAGCGTATTCGGGTGCCATATTCCCTATATCATCGGTAGAGAAGCCGCCTTTTGATCCCATGGACTTCACTATATACCCGCCAACTGTGAAAAGACCACCCGCAAGGCCGAAAAAGAATAGGATCCCATCAAGGGGTGAGAAACTGAAACAAATAAGGTGCGGGAGATGTGATAAGCTGGGGAGCCATAATCGGAAGTCATGCAAGGAGCCGATGTAGGATGCACATTTTTCATTTCAACATTGTGTTTTACATTGGATTCTTATATTCATTTCTAAAATAAGATTGTGTTGTGTTGGCAAGCAAAATAATGGTTTGGCAAACTTAGTATTTCATTTGTGCTTTTTCATTTTCTTTTTTTTGTATATGAAACTGATAGTTTGTTAAAGTTGTAATGATAAATACATGATGTGGACATTCACACTTACGTAAACGAATCATATTATGTGAAAACTTGCACATGGGTTGAACTTTTTTACCTTATTGTTGCCAATGTTGACATGAATATAAGCTGTGATGTGAACTTTCACATGCATGAAGATTGACATGGTGTGAACATGCACAACTGTTATGAATGGAAAGAAATGTGAATATTCACACCTGTTCATGTTACCCGTAATGATGTCTTGCAAACATTGTGTACATTCCTGCACAAAGTATGTGTATTACATAAAAATCTGGTTCCAAAAATCGCATCAAATATGCTCATCACAACACGGCATTATGAATATCATAAGTGAGTTTGAACATTCACATCAGTGTTGCAACTGTGAACAGTCACATCTGTAAACATTACTGCATATGAATATCATAAGTAAATGTTCACATTTGCCAGAGAAGAATGACATTTACAACTGCTATGAGCAAGAACAAATGTGAATATTCACACATGTGTATGTGATTCGTAATTATGTCATGTAGGCCAAGTGTACACTCCTGCACAAAGTATGTGTATTATAGAACAGTCAGGTTCAAACATTTGCAGAAATTACACTCATAACAACACAGCAGTATGGATATCGTAAGTGAATGTGAACATTCACATTAGTGGTACAACTGTGAACATTCACATCTGTAAAACATAACAACACCAAAAGTAGTTCGAAATTCGCAGCTGGCTTTTTCCTATTAATAGATGTTGTGTCACTGTTTTACAATCAGTTGTTGTGTCAAAATATCAACGCATTCCATATTAACATTCAAATCGACAATTGGTTAGTTTGTAGGTGGACACCCCCCACCTATAGGTTTTAATGAAGCTCTGATTTCTTATGATTCAAAAAATTATGCACTAACAAATCTCGTAGTCCACACCATTCTGAACTACTGAGGCTGCCCACAATTTCTTCATGAAATATGTGCGCCCGCATGATGTAACATACTGCCGGTCCGCAGTCCACTCTGTAAATGCGAAATGGTTTTGATTAGCAGTTGACATGAATATTTGCATAATGGTTATGGAGGATTTGAAAAAAATGTAGTGAGGCTTACGAGTCGTCGCCTTGCTGAGGACAGACATCAACACTTTTGGTTGGTTATGCTGGATTTTGGCCTGCTAACTTACTGTATAGCGGTGATGACTCGCCAATAACGCTCACAACATGCTCAATGTACTTTCTCTGTGTATGGAATTTCAAATTAGGCACCAACAAACATATGTGTGTGTACAATCATTTAATGCATGAGAACAAGTCATGTTTGTGTTGAAAAATAGCCACTTACAACTTCTTGTGCTTGGTCAATATGCGGGTCATATATGCTTGTTCTTGGGCGTAATGAGTTGTAATGCCTCCACAAATTGTCTTTAGCATCATACACAACTATCGTCCAGTGGTACTCATGATGCAATGGGAATAGTAGGTATCTCTCTCCTTGGTAGTTTTTGACATGTGCATCAATGTGTTTACTCCTTTTGCGAGGATGGTACTCTCGTATCACTTTCTGTACACATTTGACAAATAATTGCTGGACTGTGAAGTTTCACATTCACATTACAAATAATGGAATGATAGATTTTTACCAAACACATGCTCGTGAAGATCAATGAGGCTTCATCCGAAGTTGGGTTGACCACCTCTTGTTGTTCATGCAACAGTTTAGCATATGCATCTATGAGCTGCACAAACATTGGGTCATATTATATACATTTTGTGGCTGTGAGTGTGTGTGTGTCTGTGTGTGCATATGCATGAAGAGTGAATTATATTTGTAATGACATACATTGCTGTGTATTGATTCCTCCTTGATAAGGTTGACAATGTCATCAAAATACACATGTGTTGCTGTGTATTGATTCCTCCTTGATAAGGTTGACAATGTCATCAAAATACACATGTGTAGCCTTTGAATCTCCTTTCCACACCAGCAGCTTGTGCATTATGAACAAACCAATGTAAATATTTACATTGCACAGATCTGAACAAACCAAAAAAATTGAACACAGTGATGAGTATAGACTATTACGGAATGTGAATGTTAACATTGGATGTTTGTACAGTCACTTACTCAGTGCCTCCATTTTTTTGTAAAGCTTGGACCTTTTGTTTGTCTTGTTTGGACATCTTGGTCCAGACTTTGAACTTGTTAGTCAAGGATAATTTTTTTGGCTGCTTCGCTGGTGGGTGTTTCTCCACATCTTCAACCATTTCGACTGGATGGGGCTGCTTTTGGCCAGGTAAGTCTGGGTACTGGAAGTCTGGCAAGCGATGTTCTTTGCGATCTTTTTCCTTTATACGCTTGACCCTAGAAGGTGGGCTGATATTGTGTTGCATTGGGCTAGGGGGTTGCCATAGCCTGTGTGACAATGTGGACTGACTGGTCATCGTAAAGATCCTGAAGAATTGTTTTATCGCATTCTAAGTCGATGACCAGCTGCGTTAAGCGTTTGATTTCCTTATCCTTCTGCTCCATGCACTTCTTTATTTCGATATTCACGTTGGGCGGGCTGGACTGGTTAAACAATTTATGTTCAAAAGCAGCTATGACTCTTGCCCTTAACTCCCATGAAAGTTGAAGGTGTTTGTACTTTGCTTCCCATTGCCTTATGACGCCCTAAGCCTTCCGATTTTCTTGGATAAGCACATCAATGATATCAAGTTGGTTTGTGTTTGGTATTACAATAGATCTGTCATAATGTTGGCTACTAAATGGAATGTGAATGTCCTCATTACTATCCTTCAGCTCCACCCCATCCCCAGAAAAGTGGGAGTTGCTGCCATTGTGTTGTTCTCCCTTGATATCAGAAAGGCTGGCAGATGTTCTGGCTGGTTCATAAATTTCAGGCTCCACCTTCAATATTTTATGCTTGAACTTTTGTAATTCTGTTGGGGTTGCAAAGAGTTCACCAGCATTAACCTGAAAATGGAAAAAATATGTTAGTTAACGTATATATTTGGGTGCTGTTATAATGTGAATGTTTTGATCAGTAGTTGAAGGCCCTACCTCATTAAAACGCAAATCAGCTAAAGAAGTGGTTTTCATCTTCTTCTATAAAAGCAGTCAGATCCCACTTCACACAGCAAGGAAAAGCATTGGGTCTGTGAGGTTGTAGGATGGTTGTGTGCTCACACAACCAGTACTTCAATAAAACAAGAAACACATATTGTTATTTAGCATTTGCATAGTAATGGCAACCTATGTGAATATTAATCACAGTGCCATTGTTGTGAACATCCCAGTAGTACATTATCATTAAATGTGAACATTCACATCAGTGGTTCAGATATGAACATTCACATCTGTGAAACGTGAGTGATGTGGCACTGTTGTGAACATTAACAGTAGTATGTTATGAGTGAATGTCATCATTCACATCAGTTATTCAAATGTGAACATTCACATCTGTGAAACGTAAGTGATGTGACACTGTTGTGAACATGCACAGTAGTATGTTATGAGTTAATGTGATCATTCACATCAGTGCTTCAGATGTGAACATTCACATTAGTGAAACATAATTGCCTATGGAGCAGTGTTGTAAACATTCACAGTAGTATATTATGAGTGAATGTGGACATTCGCATCAGTGATTCAGATGTGAACATTCACATCTGTGAATTATAATTGCCTACGGACATTCACATCAGTAGTGCAGATGTCAATGTTCACAGTTGGCTTAGATGAACAACACTGAAGGACATGTGAATGTTATTATTTGACAACATGGGTACTTACCATCAATAACATGACACAGTCGGTGATTTTTGCTGGATTTTTGTCATTTTGGGAAATAGACGATGTCAACATTATCCCAATTTGCTTGGCCCAATCATATTCTTGCATGCTTTCCAATGGGACCATATGTGCATAGTAGCCCCATCCTATTGTCTCCCCGCTTGTTGAGAAAAAAAGCTTTTGGCAAGCATACATGTACACTAGTCGGGCAACTTCTTCGTTGTCATCTTTCTTTTTGCGTTTCAATGCCTCGGTCAAAAGGGTGCGTATCCATTTTGAAGTCAACCGGCTGACTTTTTGCATCTTTTGTTTACAATGCCAGTCTTTGGTTTCGCACCTTATGATCTGTCCATCAGCTTGCTGCCACAGTCCACACCAAAAATCAGCTTGATGTCGCTGTTGTGTATGTTCATCTTCTTCTCCCCAATGTAGAAGGCATCTTTTGAAGCTTGGTACATTTGTAGTACATGCAAAACAACATCATCATACTTCATGCATTTGTCAAGGTCGATCTGATTGTTTCTCAATGCATTAAACAAATTCCAAAAAGGTGTTTATTGAAGGCACCGAAGCTGTGCTTCTGTGAACTTGGTGGTTTTCATTAATTTGACCAATCCAGTCATATTAGATCTGTAGTTCACATGGCGCATGTCGATATTGGTGCAAGTATTTGTTTGTGGGGTTTCTTCCTTCACATGGTACTCATCTCTTTTTCTCTTTGCGGTTTTCTTTTGTGCGACATCTGCAAAATGGAGCATTTAAAAAAAATTAAGTGAAGGCTCATCTGATTAGCATAGTGGAACAGATGTGAACATTAACAGCATTTCCACTGATGTGCATGTTCACAGTTTGTGTGCGTGGCTTTGAATCACCAAAGTTTGTGTGTGGTTATGAACATTCACATATGTACATGAATGTGTATTTTGACTGTGTCAGCACAAACACAATGTACATATCGTGTCAGTGTGTGGAAAACAATGCATTTTTATACAACCATGAACACCATTGAAGAACATGTGGATGTTAACACAAACATATAAAATGATGGATCAACTTATTGGATCACCATTAACAATCAACAATACCAACAAGGCAAACATTCGCAATAGGGGGAAAAGAATCAAAATATCTCTACTCATTGGCCCAATATTTTTCAATCCATGTGAATGTTCACAGCATAAAACAACAGCACTAATAATATCTGATTGTCCTAAAATTTTCAGGCAGTGTGAATGTTCACACCATATAAGAACAGCACCAATAATATCTGATTGTCCTACAATTTTCAGGCAATGTGAATGTTCACAGCATAGAACAACAACACCAATAACATCTGACTCTCCTAAAATTTTCAGGCAATGTGAATGTTCTCAGCCTAGAACTACAGCACCAACAATATCTGACTATCCCAAAATTTCCAGGCAATGTGAATGTTGACAACATAGAACAACAGCACCAATAATATCTGACTCACCTAAAATTTTTTAGGCAATGTGAATGTTCACAGCCTAGAGCAAAAGCACCAATAATATCTGATTGAACTAAAACTTTCAGGCAATGTGAATGTTCACAGCGTAAAACAACAACACCAATAATATCTGACTCTCCTAAAATTTTCAGGCAATGTGAATGTTCACAGCATAGAACAACAGCACCAATAATATCTGAATCTCCTAAAAGTTTCAGGCAATGCGAATGTTCACAGGCTAGAACAAAATAAACCAATAATATCTGATTGTCCTACAATTTTCAGGCAATGTGAATGTTCACACCTTTCAACAACAAGAACAACGACAGAATTGGCCAAAGAGTGTCAATGCATGTGAATTTTCACAGTATACAACAACAACACCATTAATACCTTATTACTCAAACATTTTAACTCAATGTGAATGTTCACATCTGTTATCAACAGCAACAAAAAAGAATTGGCCAAAACATTTGAAACCATGTGAATGTTCACAGCATTGAACAACAACCGAATAACATCTGGAATATATTTGATTATCAAACCATTTTCAATCAATGTGAATGTTCACAGATTTCAATTACAACAACTATAACCAAAACATTTTCGAATGTTGACAGTTGTGAACACAATGTAATGGCAATTGTAATGTTTTTGACTGCAAAAATCAATAAAATTAGGGATTACGATTGAGGGGTTCAGAATAAATGTTAGGGTATGAACAATATGGACTCCTATGTATTGTATGCATAGGAAAAGGGGATATTTGTAAAAGTTCACAATGTTGGTTGTTGATAAAGAGGTTTACGGTTTAAATACACGAATGAGTAGAATACTTACGTTTTTTGCCCATTTCGATGACAAAGATGTTGAGACGAAGGGACGATGCGACGAAGGAACGTATACAGTTTTCTGGGCGTACGAACGACGAAGAAGATGATGAGACGATGGAACGAAGACAGTCTTCTCGGCGTAGGGATGACGGAGAAGACGATGCGACGATGCGACGATGCAACAATGGAAGGAATACAGTCTTGTGGGCGTTGAGGCGATGTGGAATATGGTTTTGGATTTCTGGACTGTAGAGGTACTGTGCGTGATTTCCTACGCAAGAATAGAGAGGGGAAGAGAGACGGTTATTAGATTCAAAGAGAGAGAGAGAGAGGGGTGCGTGTTTTTTTGAGGGCTTTTTTTGGTCTTTTTGTATGAAATAGACCTAATGGAATATTATAAAATACTATGAGTTTTATGGAACAACATTCTTAGATAATGAATTTACTGAAAAAGCTCTCATTTTTTTTTTTTTTTTACATTTTTAAGCTCATTCTCAATTTTTTATCTCCAAAAAAAGAAAAAGAAAAGAAATATATATATAAAATGATAACTAGTGCGCATTATATATCCTTTTTGCTTTGGGTGTTGCCGAGTTGTTTTCGTTTGTAAATAAAAAATATGACGCGTATGCTTCGTTATGAGTAAAATACTCTTTAAAAATAAAAATAATAAAAAAATAAAAATAAAAAAAAAAGGTTGAACTAATCATAATAGTGTTAATACAAAAAAAGAATAAAGAAAAGTATCATATCATTCATGATTAAACCAGGAAGACACTGTTGTTGCTGAAAAATTGGCAATGCACATAGCAGATGTCACTGAGAGATCTGTCTTTGAAGAGAAGCATAATGTCTCATGCAAGATAACTTTTATACTATCATTATTGGTTAGAATTACTACATGTTATTGAACTTATGCTCTAGATATGTTGTTATATTATTTTGACCTGGTATGTATGATGCCTGTCACAGGATAACTTAATTTCTGATGGGCATTGTGTTCTTATCTTCTCTCAAACCCGCAAGATGCTTAATCTTATTCAGGTTAGTTTTAAATCACATTGCTTACCATATGCTATTGAGGAGATATCAAATTTTAGTGATCTTTGCACATATTAGTATGTTATCAAGTTAAGGAGTAGCGATACAAGGTGATATAAATCCTCATTTTGGCTAAGATTTTGATGTTTTGTAATATATTGAAACAAGGCTTAAAATTTTGACAACGAAAGATCCGGTGCCAACCTACAGGTCTGGCTGTCCCTTTAACTGAACCACTAGCTTCCGTATTTCTACTAAAAGGCTGCTATTTCTGTTTAGTATCTCTTTCCATATATTTCTGTTTAGTATCTCTTTCCATTCATGAACCAAATTGAAGAAAAGCATTATCAACTAATTTTATACAAAACCCCCAAATGGAGGGAGTGTGATAATGACACTTTTAGATGTTAACTAAACATCTACTTCTTATGCAAAGGACTAAAGCGAGGAACCACAAAACCCATACAGACATTCTATAAAATAAGTTAGTTTGCCTACCATTGATGTGGCTGATGTTTGGATGCATAGAAATAGGCAATCCTTTTTGATGAAATATAGTTAAACTCCTTTTTGAGGAAGCAAATCCAACTATAATGGTTTAGAATGAACCTGAGTTTGTCATATCTACTTCTTCTTCTTCTTCTTCTTTTCTTTCTTTGATATGTGAACCTGCATTTGATAAGAACAAATAACATGAATAAAATGTCATATGAAAATTTCATAATTAACTTTTACTCACTTCCTCGGACGAACGATGACAATTAAATGATGAGGTGTATGCATGGGATTGTTGTTGTGAATGCACATGTGTAGCAGCTGGTGCAACAGGCCCACCCATGGCCTGTTGAGACTCCAATTGCTCTATTCGGGCTTGTTGAGCTTGGATTGTGCTTTGCATCTCCATTTGTACTTTCTGTTGATTAAGCATAGCATCCATCATCTCCTTTATTTGTATCTCCATTTGTGTTTTATATTGGTTAAGTTGCTCTTGGACTTGCGTTTGGATGATACGAGTTTGTTCTTGCGATTGCCTATATCCGCCTCCAAAGACATCTGTCGGGGAAGGACCCAATCCATATGTTCGAACACGACCAGGTCGCTCAGGCCCTAGAACCTGTGTGATAATTTCTTCATCTGTAGCATTGGATTGCGCCCCAAGGTCCTTCATTTGTGTCTACAATTGTTAATTAGTAATTAGCCACCAATAAAATTGTTCATAAATTTGAGATCTACTTTAATGTATTAAATGTAAAGCATAAAATAATTTGTTTTAAAGAAGACAAGAGTATGCATTTGTACCCCTGATGCAGCTATAACCCCCTTTCCCCTTCTCTCTCTCCTCGGTTGTTAAGACATTAGCCATACTCAACAAACTAGTTAATTAGCTAAACATGTAGAGAACTATTTCACAAACTCATTGGAGCCCAAAAAAAAAAAAAAATACTAGACCATCAGATTGAGGGGTAATAGCTTTTCGTAATCACTCACTTTGGAAAAGCACTTTGTTCTTTTCTTCAAATATGGAATGGTAGTAGTAGAGGTAGATGGGGCTTCCTACTAACATATATATATATACAACCAAACCTAACCTAAGCTTTGGAGTTAGGACATAGGACCACTCACTGTACTGCACAAGTCAGCTGTCAGTGATCCAAAAAGGTAAAAAATAGGACCACTTCCACTTACTGATTATATTTTCATGAGAATGGGACAAAGTTGGATTCTTCCCTTCCACCTGTTCCCTACCCCTGTTTTGTGCTATCTAGTAAAATAGATATGTATTATGCAGATATATATGTGTATAAATGGGTATTAACTGATCAAAAAACTTGTAGACTTGTGAGTTGAGAAGACATTTTTGCAGATACTTTTGCACATCTATTTCTAACAGGCTAGACAGAGTAATGGGATGTCACTGTTCACACCATTCATGAAAACCTCTTTGTTTAAGAAAATCATACCTTCCAAGAAGTCAATTTACTTACAAGTAAGAACAGATTATACTCCCACCAAAAAAAAAATTCAAATTTAAAAATAATTCACCAAACAAGTTCATAATAATATTTCAAACTGGCACACATTTGCAGTGTCAAGTTGCATCCTGCCATGTTGATGCATGCCCTGTCAAGGTGCCTTCACAGTGTCAATAAAATGTTGTTTGTTCTTTATTATTTTTGTTCCATTAATAACATCTATTTATCCATATCCTTGATTATCAAAGGCTAAAAACATCCCTGGGTTCATAAGCAATTATATAGAATTTGCACAAAGCATTTTGATCTTTTTTCTACTCTGTTAAACTTTTTCTGAGTTTTCTCTTTTTTTCCCTTCAGGTAAAAAAAAAGGAAGTATAATGATGTGATAGAGTGCATTTTGAGAAAACCTTCCTAACCAAGATATTAGAGTCATGCCATAATGCCAGACTTCCCAGGTCCTGAACTGGCACAACTTCTCTCAAGCTGAAAGTTGATAATTAGATAACATAAATTAAAAGCACTATTAAGCAGGAAGGGAAGCTTCTTCTTTTTATTTATTTTTAACTAGTAGGGAAGCTAGCACCCTAATAAACTACACATGAGCATCCCACGAATCAGCACAAGAAGCATCCTAGTATAATACTAGCCATCCCAAATAGAGACCAACCACAGCCATATTCCACAAGGCAAGCACAAAAAAGAGTCAAGTGACCACCTCAGTGCTCATCTCTTAGGACAGCTTCAATTCTTTAAATTCCATACCTAAAAAAGCCATTAAATAAGTCAGAGTTGTCCAAGGAACTCTTGTTCATGTTTTTCTCTATCGTCATTGCAATCTATCTGTATTGCTGACTGGCCAAACCTCGCGAACAACACACTTTAGCAAAACCATCATAATTCAAACTGAAGTCATACTAAACAAATTACTTCTTGGAAATTTTACAATAATCATCTTTGTCTACAAAAATCTACTATGATGAGACACGGAAAAGGCAACAAAAAAAATTGTCAAAGTTCCCAGCAATAACAACAATAATGCATAGGTGTAATGACACATAATCATCTTCATCTACAAAAATCTACTATGAATAATTGTCATTTTCATATTTCTTCCCAATGCTTCACATATGCTTCATGCTCGCTCACAATCATGTCTAATCAATATCAATAGAAAGTAGAGAATAATGTAATTTATGTTGTGAATTGTATTTCTTGCATCAAATTATATTCCATTCTGATTCCATGAGGAATCTATGGCTGCCTTGTTAACTGGGCTTACAAAATAAAATGACTGTCATGTCTATTTTTATTTTGAATCATGACTCAATTACATAATCAAATATGTATCTCTCAGATTAAATGTGAGACTTACAAAATAAAATGACTGTCATGTCTATTTTTATTTTGTTTTTTTTAATTATTATAAATAAATCGGCAAAATTAATTAATTAACTATTAAATTAGTATATATGGAGAGTTCAAACTCAAAATATTCTTTATAAACATTTAAGACTTCCCTCCCTATGCACGCCAAATGACTAGCTACCCAAGCTACAACCCCCTTAGCTAATAGCTATGTCTATTTCTGTTGTTTATGTGTGTCAAGATGGCAAAAGTACAAAAATATACAAAATAATACTAGTCAATATATTCTTTCAAAGGGACAAGGAGCAGTGAAAGCAAATGATTGAAGAATTGGATGAGTTCAGACTTCAGAAAGCTCAGAAAATTCAAGAATTTTTATCACAGAAAATGGAATGGGGTATTTGAATATTGATTTTTTAGACCCAGTTTTCCATCTTCAAGCAGAGAAATCTTGAAACGAAAGTTAAACAGCGGCTTAGAGCTAGCCTCTTGCATGATACACTGTGATAAAGGGATCAGATGGCGCTGCAGGGTCAGCTCGTCAAAACCTAAGCGACTAATTCTTCAGACCTTAGCTGGTGAGGAGCACTCGGCTCAAATTTGGATTTTCTTCACAAAAAGTGTCACCTCTTTGCAGATTAATCCTCATTTAAACTAGTTCTCTTAACCCCACAAGACTTTTATACAAAAAGACCCCAAAACTAAAGCACATCCAGCCAACTTACGAAACACTCCCAAACACCAAATTATTTGTTTATAAGGATGAAGTTAAAATTGACAGGTAGAGACAGAAATGATAGAAACAAAATGATGAAGTTTTCTTAATTAAATGAAAATTTTCAAGAGTAAAATTAAGTGATGGAGAAATTGAATCACTACAAATCAAGAACAATCTAATTGGGTTGACACCTACAGACATGCGTATCATTTTGCATTATTCCACTCCAAAGTTTATACAAAAAAATAATCTTCATTAAATAGAAGCCGGTTATGTGTCCCTGCCAGCCCAATCCAACAGGAGTGCCCCTCTAACATAAAGGTTAACAACCTCTGTACAGCATTTTGACTCTGCTGAAGATGACTTACCTCCGGAGGGGCTTAACTTGACACTTGATAGCGAAGGGGAAGAGGCCATGGTTAGCTACTTTTCGACAACAAAGTAATCACTCGAGAGTCTTTAATTTCCTGTATAAATCGAGGGTATTATTACCTAGCACGTTAAGTGCTCATGTGATGTAAGTTTATGCCTGACCTAACAAATTATGTATGCGGGTTCGTTTCTCCTTTTTCCCTAGTAATTTCATAACATTTCTTTAAAAAATAAATAAAGAAACAAATATGAGACAAGTATCTAATACATTCCATACATGCAAAGTATATAATTATGGTGCTACATACCATGACCGCAACAACTTTATCATTACTTGGTTTGTTATCCTTCGTGTACCCAGCCATCCACACCTCTAAGCGAGTTGCAGGAACTCCATTCTTCTTATTAGTTTCCTATAATTACACTTAAAATTAAGTAACAAAATCAAAATATACAATTTCAATTTGAAATATAAAGAAACTATATACCTCTACTCGAACAACTGAGAATGGTTTTCTTCCAGTTATGTGATTTAATGTCTTCTTCTTCCGAATTTCTTTGTTTTTTATACTTTTTTTCTGTTACATATGAACACAAACACAAGATAATTTATTAATTAACAAACTCATCTTATGAGATTACGATAGAGTTATATAAACAATTTAAATGATACCTGTGCCTTCCGAGTGCCCCAATAATAGACTAAGCTTCGCCATTGATGCTCATGTACTCTTTCGGGCCGATGAGTTAACCTATCAGCATCGTTGTCGAATGGCGTATACCCCAATTGTTTAACTCTAGCCTTCCACTCTCTCCATTTTTTTCCAACAGATGCCAAAACAAATTTCTTCATTGACTCGTCGGCATCTGTATTGATCTGCAAATAATTGGCAACGTTGTGACTATTGCATACACACAGCAGCAACAACATACACGCAGCAGCATACACACAGCAGCAAGCCCAAACAACAATGCAGAAGAATTCCAAGTGTGCAATGGCAATGCTGGTATTTGTCTTACAAACAAGCACTATTTTGGGTAATTGAATATAATAATTTTTATTTTTTATTTTTAATCATTTTCCTGGAAGGTAGAAAGGTCAAAGCCAGGAAGCTAGACAGCAATGCAGCAGAAAGAAAAAAAATACAAAATAAGAAAAATAAAACTATAAAATAATAGTAATTTGGTAAAACAGAGATTCCTCTAAAGTTGCAGAGATAGCCCAAGAAAGCAAATGACTATTGTGTAAGTACATGTAATTACTTGTATAAATACACACACATATATACATAGATATTCAGCTACTTCATCGAATTCTCTCTGTTCGAATTATTCAAGGAAACAACAAAAGGAAGAAACAAAACAAACTGGCAACTATAAAATATGAAACAAATAAAATAAATAATAACAAATTAAGATTAAAATTGATATGTAAAATGAAATAATTCTTTTACCTTTACTTCTCTCCAAATTCTCTCTTTGTTTTCCTTCGGTACATGGCTCCAAGTTCTATAAGTGAGGGGCATAAGGTTCCCATCTCGAGCTAAAACACCCAAACGAGAAGCCAAGGGTGTATACCCGTCAACCACTTGGTTCAACTCATTAGGCACAATATGTAAAATGCCACCACTTGGGTTCCAATCACTACCATGCATGAGTCTTGGGCCTCTCAAACTATGACCTACTCATCCAAATATCAATATCAAGTTAGAAGATACTAGAAAGAATGATAATACAAGAATTGAGCAGACAATGGAGCAAATGGAGTAGTGTCACTTAGTTTAAAAAAAAAGAAATATAAACATCAAAAGAAAAAAGCACATCAACAGAGAAATCTAATGGAGTAATTCAATTGAATAAAATAATTCATACCAGCAGTAGTGTCATGTGTCGAACCAGTACTCAATGATATACTAGGCAAGCTACCTGGAGGATACCATGACATGGGTGGATCAGGTATGATGCGTGTACTCTCCTCTGAACTCTCATCTGAACTTCCACTATAAGAACTCTCATCTGCACTCCCACTGTAAGAACTCTCAGAATTTGCAGAGGCTAAATGTTGCCTCTGCCTAGAGCATCGTCGATCTGTCATGCTAGTTTACAGAAGACCACAAGCATACGTGTAGAATTTTATGGGTTAACAATGAATATAAAGTCCAAAATATTAAAAAAATTCTCTACAAATTTAAATTTTAAACACAATCTTAATATAACAGATATAATCTTTCTCAAGGACATAAAAGGTTGTCTCAAGGACAATCACGTTGAAAAGCAAACAAATGACGCATTTTAAAAGCAAAGGTTTCATTAACATGAATATCCATGCTAAAAGCACAAATGTAACAATGAATATGAAACAAAATTACAATATCATATCATTTCTTCATCATCTTCAGATTGTGTCTGTGTCGATATCCCAAGAGGTCCAATAGTTTCATCAATAGTTGTTCCAACTTCACCTTGCCTAACCCAATTTATGTCCTCTTCACAAGCAAACGAAGTTGCATCTAATTCTTGGTCGCCAAATCCTTCCACTTCATTGTGATGTTCTCCATCATTAATTGGTTGTTCTCCACACACCTCATACAAGTCTCTAGGTTTCATCCTGACTACAACATCCCAATCAGCTTCAACGGGATCATTAACATAGAAAACTTGTTGTGCCTGAGATGCTAGGATGAATGGCTCATCACTATTTTGTTTCTTTGTATATAACAAATGATTGAAATTAACAAGTGTGAAACCAAACCCATCCTGCTTCAATCCTTTGTTGTTGTCAATCCAGTCGCACATGAATAGCACATATCTACGGTCGTATGAGTAATACAATTCAATAATATCTGTCACATATCCATAGTATGCTACTTCACCTTCCACAGGATTCATGTCTCTGGTACTTGCATAGCTACAAGTCTTTGCTTTCACCATAACCCCACTATTTTGAGTTTTTCTTCTCCACTCACGACTCCTCGTATGATACCTAGTACCATTAATTATATACCCATTGAATCTCGTGGCCTTTTTACTAGGTCCCAATGCCAAAGTTTTAATCTCATCTGACAACACAGCATTTTCAATAGCTAGAAGCTCTTCAACCTATTTTTACAAAGTCAACAAAATTAAACATCAACTAACAGAGAATTAAAAATTGAAAACATGAGAATTGAAAATTAAAAACATGTAAGTTATTAGTACTTACATGAGAATTAAACCATCTGGGAAACTCATCATTGTGACGGCGATCCACATCAAAATCTTTAAGACGACGATGTGACCGCTTAATAAAATCACGATGCTCCCTATACATTTAAAGTACCTATAAAATGCAAGATACTTATTAATGGTATCAATAAAATTTTGAAACAAAGATTGTATCTTACTCTCGATATGGGACAACCGCAGCAGTGTTAAATAACACATACCGATGAGCTTGTACCCATGATGTGTTATCAAGCGCAAACCCTTTTCCTTTTCCTAAAGCATGACCCAGTAATATCCCAGGATTGTCGCTAACATCGTAATTCCTTATTGGTCGATTCAATTTTGACTCGACATCATCCAAGTACCTTGAGCAAAAGGTCATACACTCTTCAACTAAGTATCCCTCTGCAATTGAACCTTCTGGATGACTTCGATTACACATATATGACTTAAGTGTCATAAGATACCTATAAACAAACAAATGCACACATGACTTTCAATTATAAACAAACAAATGACTACAACCTTAAATTGGAGTAGAATTGCACACCTTTCTATGAAGTACATCCAGCGATATTGCACTGGACCAGCAATCTTGGCCTCCTCTGCTAGGTGAATAGGCAAGTGCTCCATTATATCGAAAAAGGATGGAGGAAAAATTCTCTCAAGATGACAAAGTGTAAGAGCAATTTGGGATTGAAGACGATCTAACCCATCTGGCTCTAAAGTTTTGGAGCACAACTGCCTGAAGAAATTGCTTAACTCAATCAATGGTTCAACAACTTTTTTCGGTAACAAATTTCTCACTGCTATTGGAAGTATTTGTTGCATCAATATATGGTTGTCATGACTTTTCAGTCCAGATATGCTATGTTGTTTGAGGTTAACACGACGAGAAATATTGGATGCATACCCATCTGGAACTTTGATATTCTTCAGGAGTGTACAAAACAAACCTCTCTCTCTATTGTTCATAGCAAAACATGCAGGCGGCAAATAATACCTGTTCCCAACCCCTTTTTTAGGATGTAATGCCTTTCGAATTCCCATATCTTGCAAGTCTCGACGAGCATTTAAATTATCCTTTCCTTTCCCATCAACATTTAATATCGTCCACAATACATTATCACACACGTTCTTCTCAATGTGCATTACATCAAGATTGTGGCGAATCAAATTATGCTCCCAATATGGAAGCTCAAAGAAAATACTCCTCTTCCTCCAATTATGATCCTCCTCGTTGTCCTCTTTTTCCTTTCCTTTCCTAGTTCTTTTTTGTCTGTTAGTTGGTTGATGCTTAGGCCCTAGCTGTCGTAACACATTAGCCCCCGATAACCGAGTTGGACATGGTTCAAATTCAGAAGTTCCATCAAAAGACGCAGCATCTTTTCGAAATTTGTGACTCGCATTCAACCAGCGGCGATGCCCCATGTAACAAATTTTCCTTCCATTCTTCAAATACCGATGTCGAGTACGTATGTTACAACAAGGACAAGCTAAAGCACCTTTCGTGCTCCATCCAGACAAATTTGCATATGCAGGAAAATCATTTATTGTCCACAGTAAGACCGCGTGCAATTGGAACATTTGATTAGTTTCTGCATCGTACGTCTGAACACCATTTTCCCACAATTCAATCAGTTCATCCACTAACAAGCGCAAGTAGACATCAATGTTATTGCCAGGTGAAGAAGGACCATCAATGAGCAATATCATCATCATATGAGGTTGTTTCATGCACAACCACGGTGGCAAATTATAAGGCATTACAATAACTGGCCAACTGCTGTGAGCAACATTCATTGCCTTGAATGGATTAAATCCATCCGCTGCTAAACCTAGTCTGACATTGCGAGGCTCACTCGCAAACTTGGGATACAAAGTATCAAAATTTTTCCAGACAAGAGAGTCAGCAGGATGTCTCATTTTGCCATCATCAATTCGGCCCTCTACATGCCATCTCATTAATGAAGCAGTTTTGGATGACATGAACAATCTTTGAAGCCTTGGAATCAAAGGAAAGTATCTCACAATCTTCTGGGGAATTCTTTGTTGCTTCTTTTTATAATCATTCTTCTCACCCTCAAACTGTTTGTATCTAGGCGTCTGACACACTATGCAATCATCCCTACTAGCTGTCTCCTTCCAATACAGTGAGCAATCTCTTGGGCATGCATGTACCTTGTGATAATCAAGGCCCAATTCCCTAAGGAGTGCCCTCGTTGCATAGAACGACTTTGGCAAAGTTTCACCTTTTGGGAATGCATCCTTCAAAAGTTTAAGCAACATCGTGAAAGACTTGTCGCTCCATCCACTAAGGCACTTGATATGCAATAATCGAACAACAAATGACAGCGTTGAAAACTTGTGACACTCTGGATACAACTCTCTTTCGGCCTCCTTCAATAAACTGAAAAATCTTTCAGTTTTCTTATCCGGGCCTAGTTCGATATTAGAATTTGAGGCCAGTGTCAGAAGAACATACCGGAATGCTGTAGAGGGCTAGGAGATCAAAAGTCCGCTGAAGCATCCCCATCATGGAGGCGTTCATCTCCAACGACTGCCGAGTATACCCAGAATGGTTAGTAGAGGCCGGTCTTTGGACCGGGCGAGAGGGGGTGCTCATAGCTGACCTTCCCCGATCGTACCCAAGCTCCCGAGCCGAGACAACTCCGGTGATGACGGACATGTGGCCTTCGGCACCGAGTCAGGGTTTCCTAAATTCCCCCATAAAAAAATATTTAGGTGGCGACTCTGTATCTGGCAAAGCAGTCCATGTTTGGCACTACTTTTCAAAAATCTGTTTCCCAAAACGATTTGCCGGATTTGGACTCTTTGGTTCAGATTAAGAACTGTGACAATTTGAGAGTCCGAGCTGTAGTGACCCCACAAATGAATAGAACGGGAGCTCACCCTCCCGGGGCGTTCGGGCGCGCCTACATGTACGAAGGGGTGGGAAAGCGTTACAATGACCAAAAAGCGTGTGCGCGTTCTGACACGCATTGGGAAGAAGATTAACTGCCGAATTTTTGACTTCCCAGGCTAGAAACCAAACACGCCGACTAACTGATGCTAGTGGGTTGTTTGGGGGGCAATTGTGGGAGCCGAATATAATTAGATCAATAAGGACGAGAAGATCCGTTCGGTCCGGAATGTAGCTTCTATTCGGTATTGATCTTAGTCAATCAAACAGCTGAATAAAGTAAACGACACTCCAGCCAGTAGAGCAAATGCCGAGTATAAGTACGTGTAAAGGATCATGAATGGGCCTCGCCTTAAGGCCCAAAAAGAATACTATAAATATGGGACCATCAGTTAGAGAAAGGTATGTGAGAACTATTATACTTAACTTAAAATACAAGGAATTTAGAGAGTAGAGACTAACTTTCCCGTCGGATTGCTAATTCCGGCACCCCCTGAGGATCACTAGCGTCTCCCAGGATCAGAAGAGTATTTCCAAACCACTTCTCTACACATAGCTTATCCAAATCTTAATCTTTTAGCGACAAATTATAATTTTATAGTGACGGAATATATGCTTTTTGGCGACCAATTTTGCTTGTCGCTGAATGTCTACATACAGTGACAATTTATGTTTGGTCGCCAATACTTTTAGTGACAGGCCTTTGGTGACCAATTGAGTACTTGTTGCCGATTCTTTTGGCAACGGAATTTTTACTTTGGGCGACCAATTTTTTGGTTGCCAAATGTGTTTTTTGTTGTAGTGATTATGTTTCAATTACGTTAATTATTTATGAACCCTATGTGCGTAAAAATGGAAACTCATGGATAAGTACCTTGAGCAATTATTTTATAAGTACTACCACAGAGGTCCCATGCCTTTGGGGTCTACCATTGGCCTCTGAATTGTTACTTTAGTGACTCTCTGACGGTCTCATTCCTTGGGAGACTCAAATAACCATAGGCCTCTGATTAGTCACTTTGTGACCCTCTGTGTGTTATGAATCCCTTGATTCTCTATTCTATTCTGCTCTGTTCTACATCGTAGTTATGATTATTTGCTATAATTCTATATTTTGTTTCTATTATTGAAATGATTTACTCGAACCAAACTATTCTCTGTTTGGCCAAAATAATTTTCCATGATGATTTTATACGCTATGCTCTCAGTATAGTATTTTTCACTCTGCTATGTACTTATAACTGTTATCCTTTTTCAGGTGATGAAATATAAGGAATAGTGGTAATCTCATGTAATGGGACTGGCACAGGACTTAATGCGGACTTTTTGTATTTCTTTTAATAATTGTCTAATCATCATTAAATAAATAAAAGTCTCGAGAAATGTCTTTTTTGTAACATTATTGAGTATTTTCATCATTTATTTACCTATTTAATTCTTTATCTCATCTCTGCCTGCATCATTTAATTTATTAAAATTAAAATTATTTAGCTATTTGCGATCCAGCCCTAAGCACTAGGGATTGGGTCGTGACATTCTTGATTGATTTTTTATTTTTATTTTTTATCGTAATACTGTGTGTTTTTAAATAACAATGTAATTAAATGTCATAATCATCTTTATCATTATCCTCTGCTATATCATTTATTTGATTAAGAAGCATATATATGAATATTCTACATTTTTGTTAATTGTGTATCCGATAACCGAACCAATCCAATTTTTCTTTCTTGATCTTGGAAATTCGGATGCATCTATTAGTAATGTGTTTTGATAATAAATATAGTAAAATTATAATGATGATTATTATATTAATTTAATTTTTTAAAAATAAATTACATGTAAAACTTAATAAAAAAAACGATTAAAATCATTAAAACAAGTATCATGGATCCCACAAGACCTAACAACGTCACTAGGTTTTGGGAAGGAGGTTTTTTGGTTTTTTTTTTTTTTTTTTTACTAAAAGACAAACTGGTTACAAAAAAATAAAAAAATAAAAAAATAAAAAAATAATAAATCCAAACAAAATATCATATCAAACCCCATAATCATTTCACTTTTTTTTTCACAAACATCACATCCAACCATAAAAAACCTAACTATCTCCCCAAACATAATTTTTTTTTCTTTAATAATATCTTATAATTAAAAAAACCTACTTTCCAAACACCCACGAAGACAAACATATCCCTTGGTATTTTATGTTGAGGAGTAATTCCTTTTGGCAGTAATTTATGCATTTTTCTATGGCAAAACATGTGAACGATGGGCCCGACCCAGGAAATAAAGAAATTATTGTATGATTTCTGAATGTTATGGGACAATAGGTCCGGCTTAGACATGTTATGATCTCTTAATTTTAGTATTATTCAATATATTTAGTTTTAATTTTTTGAATTTAATTTTTTAAAAATTGAATTTTTTATTTTTGTGTATTTTTTTAATTTTTAGTGAATATTTTTAAAATTTTAAACTTTTTTTTTAATATTTTTTTAGATATACCTTATTTAGATATATCTAAAAAATAAAATATTTGTGAAAAAATATTTTAAAAATTTAACAAATATACAAAATATAAAAAATAAACTGAATTTTAGTTATTTTTTTTATATTTTTAGTGTTTAGTGATTTTTTTAATAATATTTTTCGCGAAAATTATACTTTTTAAGTATGTTTATGTTAAATGTGTCAAAAAATTATTTAAAATATTAAAAAAATTCAATAAAAACAAAAAATATATATAAAAAACAAGAAAATATTCTAAAAAGTTTTTTAAAAAACTGAAGCAACCATATTGATAATTCTTTTATTTCTCTATATCACAGGTACATACACTAAACAGAGTGACCAAACACCAAACAGTGTCTTGCTCTCCCTCTCTCTCTCATAGTCACTTACCGTCGGTCAGTCATCGTCTCCTCGACTCTCTCTTTCTTTATTTCCCCATTTCACTCTAGCTCTAGTGTTTTTTTGGTAGGATTTTGATTTCTGTGAAATGAGTACATGCGTTTTGATTTTTGTTCTAGATTTAGGGTTTTTGGAACTAATTATTGGTGTGATAAATGAGATGATTTATTCTGTGAAATGATTTCGGGTTTTCAAATTTCAAGTATATTGAACAAACGAAAAATATTATAGTTTTAATTAGGGGATTTTTTTTAAGGTCCCTAGTATTAAGATTTTATAGCATAAAGGACACCAAATATTTTCATAATGTCTAAGGTTCCTCAATTTGATCTAGAGAAATTTCATCCGGAGAATTTCTCTAAACTTCCCAGAGAAATTTCTCTAGAAATTTCCATCCAGAGAAATTTCATCCAGAGAAATTTCTACCTAGAATTTCTCTGGACCTCTGAAAGAATTTGTCTCTAGAGAACTAGAATTTCTCTGGGAGGTTTCTCTATTTCTCTGGACCTCCCAGAGAATTTCTCAGAGAAAGTGCCAAATTTCTCTGGACAACAATGAGGACTAGTTCAATCCAAACCAAAGAATTTATCTGGATCAACCCAGAGAAATTTCAGTTCAAACCATAGAGTTTCTCTGGACCAATCCAGAGAAAATTCAGTTTAAACCAGAGAATTTCTCTGGACCAATCCAGAGAAATTTCAGTTCAAACCATAGAATTTCTCTGGACAAACCCAGAGAAATTTCAGTTCAAACAAGAGATTTTCTTTGGACCAATCCAGAGAAATTTCAGTTCAAAGCAGAGAGAGAAGATCATTCCATTGAGTGAATAAACAACAATAGTATATATATATTAAAATGTGTTTTTGTGCAAAGAGAAATGAATTAATGAAGAACATAAACCATGAGCACAGAATCCTTGCTTGGCTGTGACTATGAGCACTCGAAGACAAATATCATGACAACAATAAACAGAATAACAAAGAACACAATCCTCTTCACGCATTTCACATAGTCCCCAACCACATAGATTTTGAAGATCACTCCACCATGATTCACGAACTCTTGCAACACAATTGGAGGTTTTAGCTTGTTCTAACCATCCTGATTGAAAACCAGAGACATCTTATGCGATTTTGCACTCCCATCAGCGACCAAAGGCTTCGCAATCACCGAAAACTTCAAACCCTCACCCCATTGATTTGGATCTAAGAGCGTCCTCATATCGTAAATCACAATCTGCTTCAGAATTCCAAACAATTCAGTCTCAGTCTCGATGTTATTCAAACCTGTAACAACCTTGAGCATTGAAATCCGATTGTGAAGCCTCTCAATCGCATCAGGGGAATCGATTATCAGGACATTAGGATTCTTTATCAAGTACTCCTCCTACTGGTTCTTCCAATCAAAGCCGCAGAGCTTGTGCATTACGCAATCGAACGGTCCTTGATCAACCAAA